GCGTCGGCGCCCTGGGAGCTCCAGGTGTTCCTGCGCGAGCGGAAGATGGAGCCCCTCTGGGCGGGCAGAGGCCGAGAGCCGGCTTCCTCGCTCTATTCCCCTCGCGGCTCACAGGTGGCAGACGCATGACTCACGGTCGGGAGCCCTTGCCTGCTCAGGAGGCCACCCCCGGCCCCCCAGGGCTTCTGAGGAGGCCGCCCTGCCTGGGCGCCCCCCCCCCCCCCCTTCCCTGTGTGCGCGCTGCCGCAAGTGGGCGTGGGCATCCGCCCGCCCCTGCGGGCGGCACTACTCCAGCAACGCACCCAACGGTCGGGAACTTTTGGACCGCGTGTCGCTCCGCCGGTTTGGGCCCACCACGCTTGGGCGCGACACGCTATCCCCTTCGCGCTCCCCACTCGTCAACGTCCCGAGCCTTTCCGAGCTTCCAGCCCCGAGCAGCGGAGCGACACGCTATCTGCTCGAATTGCACACCGTGCCGCCGGGGCCGCCGCCGCGACACGCTAAGCACAGGTTTCGGCGCCTCTTGTACATGGGACAGGGAGGTGGAGAAGGGGGGACAAGAGGGGGAGCGGAGGGATAGGGCAGTGACGAGGCATGAACACGACGCAGACGCGCGTCCCGCGCCGGGGTGAGAGCGCCGCTCCGAACGACGGAGGTACTGCATTAATTCTGAAGTGTGGCCAGCGCTGCCACTGGATCGCCTTTGTGATTTGCCAATATCGTGCTGATGGAACGGTTTGAAAAGACACGTTGCAGTTCTGAGTGTGACAAAAAATCACGCGTTTGGGTAGAGTGACAGCCTGACCGTAGTCAGGGGGAGGGGGAAGTGGTGCTCATAGAGGGGCAGCTGCAAGAGGCACAGTAGGCGCGCTCGCGCCACATCTGACATCTACTGGCCGCGACGCCCAAACCCCAAGATGGTGCCTGTCGTGTTGGGCCCGCCGTCTTCGTGATGCGGACGCGCGCGCCCCGCCGTCAGCCCGATCGCTTGTGGGACCCACTTCGCCGCAGACCAACAAGTGCTTTTGACCCGCCGCTCGCCCGACGAAGGTGCGATGGGGGCCCGGCGGGACCGGGAGGCACGCGGGGAGGCCAGGCGACATCTCGGCGGGCGGGCCCTTTTGGGCGAGGCGGCGCGCACCTGTCGAGCGTGCCTCCGTGCTCGGCAGAGGCGAGCTGCTGCCGATGCATCGCCCACCTCGTCCTCGTCGCCTTCGGCATCTTCGGGGGAGGGGGGCGAGGGAGAAAGGGCAAGGGCGACGATAGTGGATAGTGAGGAGTTTTTTGATGCCAAGGACGGTGAAGAGGGGGGGGGAGTGATGCACGAGGGGTAATTCGCAGGAGTGCGCATGCCGCATGGTTGTGTTGCCGATGGTGATGGGGAATGGTTTAGAGGATGACTAGGACGATGACGATGGCGGTGATGACCACGTTGCTGGCGATGGCACCTGTGATGGCGATCTCGATGGCGATGGTGATGCCAATGTTTATGTTGTTGCTGCTGGTGATGCTGCTGATGATGAGGATGATGGTCCAGAACTCTATAGAGCCTCCACAATCTGCCTAGAATCCTCCCTTCGGCTTCTTTCTTCTCCCCCTCCTCCCCCTTCTCCTCGTCCACCTCCCCTCCTCTTCTTCAGCCTCTTCCTCTTCCTCTTCCTCCTACTCCTCCTCCTCAATCGCCTCCTCCGCCTCCTCCTCCTCCTCCTCCTCCTCCTCCTCCTCTCCCTCCCTCCCTCCCTCCCTCCCTCCCTCCCTCCCTCCCTCCCTCCCCCTCCCCCTCTCCCTCCCCGCCCCCCTTCGCTGTGGCACCCGCCGCGGTCGACCCCCTTCTCCTCCCCCCTCCGAGGAGCACCTGCTCCCATTCCTGGAGAAGCTCGGGGTGCACGACCTGTTCGGCCTGGAGGCGGCCGCCCTGCCGCCTCCGCGCGCCGCCGCCCGCGTGCTCCTCGACGGAGAGCGTCGCCGGAGCGGCCGGCCCGCCGCCGCTGTTTGGGCTCCGGGGGGTCGGAGGAGGGCGAGTTTCTGGTTGACGCAAGGGGGGGTCCAGCTGCAAGGGGGTGGTGCAATAGATTTGATGCAATAGGCTCGTGGAGTTGCCATAGATCTGTAGATCTGGGGGGTGCAAAATACACTCCGATGCGCGAGTGGTGGCCGGATTTTCTCGTGCAGTGTGTTGGCTGCAATGCAGTGCAATCCAGTTCTCTGGCGCAATACATCGGCAATACACTCGCCCCAAATCTGTTGCACCACCCCCTTTCGGATGGACCCCCTTTTGGGTTAACCAAGGAGTGGAGACAATGCTGCACACCGGTCGTTGAAGCGCCTTCCTCTTTTTCGGAGCTTTTTGGTGGCCGTGGGCGCAGCCGCTACGCTCTCATCCGCCACGAGGCTCGGCGCGACGGCGCCCGACCCTCTCTGCCTGCATGCGAGGGGCCATCGAGCGGCCCGTTGCACCAGCGCGCCAGTCGCCGCCGCGGCGCGCGCTCAGGGCTCCGCCCGCGCGGCGCGCCGCCCTAGAGGCCAGCGACAGCGGCGCCTCGTTGGTGGGGCCTCCTCCGCCTCCTCCCTCCTCCTCCTCCTCCTCCTCCTCCTCCTCCTCCTCCTCCTCCTCCTCCTCCTCCTCCTCCCTCCTCCTCCTCCTCCTCCTCCTCCTCCCCTCCTCCTCCTCCTCCTCCTTCTCCTCCTCTTTCCTCCTCCTCCTCCTCCTCCACCTCCTCCTCCTCCTCCTCCTCTTCCTCCCTCCTCCTCCTCCTCCTCCTCCTCCTCCTCCTCCCCCCTCCTCCTTCCTCCTCCTCCTCCTCCTCCTTCTCCTCCCTCTTCCCCTCCTCTTCCTCCTCCTCCTCTTCCTCCTCCCTCCTCCTTTCTCCTCCTCCTCCTCCTCCTCCATCCCATCCCATCTCTGCTTCAAGTGTCATTCTATTTCAAGAATCCGTCTATGTTTGCCGTTTTGTGTTGTTTTCAGGTGGGCAGGAACCCAATCTACTCTATCCGCCTTCCTGCTTCCGTGTGCTTCTTCCGATTGACGGGTGGCTGGTCCTCGATACGCTGGAGCCTCTGGCGCCTGGGGGCGTCGGGTAGAACTGGCTGAGCGAGCGGATTCGCTGACCATCCCTTTTGAGGTCTCTGCGTTGCATTTTTTGCTTGCAACGGGCGATGTCGCCTTGTTTCGGACCCTGGGGCCCTCACATATCGATCCGACTCGAAGAATGCAGCAGAAAGATGGGTTCTAAGGCTTTGGCCCTGATTTTCGCGATGTTGCGGTTTTTCGCCATGCCCTCATCCGATCTGGAGGTCGAGGGTTTCGGGCAGAACGGAGAACAACAACCACAACTAAGTGTATTCATCTGGAGGGCTCCTCGGTGGAGAACCCAGCGATCTCGACATGGACACTAAGTTGTGGTTGTGGCCGATGTTTGCCGTCTGGGACGCCCACATCGACCACAACTTGTTTTAAGCTGGTTTCTGTTTTCTGACGATATTTGATTTTCGCAAAGCATCCCCCAGGATGCGTCCTCCATGTGGCTGTGGCGACGGCCGCCGTGCTCTGCTCCGTCTCGTGCCATAGTACGGCTCTGCGATGGAGTTGTTCCAGCATCGCTTCGGGAACGGTCTCGTTTTTTGCCTCTGGAGGGCGGTTCTGTGCCTCGGGGCCGATGTGAAAACGTCTCGGGGTGAACTTCTGTGATGACCGTGGGGAGGGAGTCGAGACGTCTAGTGGCCTGCGGCGTTGAGAAAATCAAGGCGTCGGACCTCCTTCCTGAGAAGGGGTGCGGTCGAAACCAGTGCTGAGGATGCGCCTTCGGAGAAACGCACCCTTGCGTTCCTCGGTCGTGGGCATCCCTTTCACGATCAGATGCTCCCCCTGTCCAGTGGTACTCCTGATGGTCCTGACGCTTTGCATCTTGGCGCGTTCTGAGTGGTGCCTGGCGCCTGTACGCTCCACCCTCATGGCTGGATTTGGCTGAGGAGATGGCGCCATTTTTCAGGTATCAAGGTCGTGGCCAGCCCCTCGCGCCGGAGGCTGACACCCAACAAATGAAGCAGAACAGCGACGGGCGGCACGACGACGACGACGACGACGACGACGAGGACGAGGACGAGGACGAGGACGACGACGACGACGATGACGACGACGACGACGACGACGAGGTGAAGACACGAGCTCAACCCCGTGAGGCGCCGCGTCCCCCCAGCGAGGATGGCGCGAGCCCAGACGACGTCGAAGGCCCAGACGACGTCGAAGGGCACCTTTGCCAGAGGCTCTGCCGAGCCAGCCCTGCCAGTAGAGGTCTCGCGCGAGCGCGAAGATGGTGACGCACCACACGATGCGGCACGCCTCTTGAGCGGGGCACGGCGGCCGCGGCGCTGGCGGACTTTTGGGCAGCAGGGGGGGTCGTGCCAAATTCCTTCCCGCGGCTCGGTGGAGGTAGCTGTCAGTACATGGCGGCCTGCTCTTTCGTGACCTCAGTCGTCACCGCGACCGGTCATTTGCGCCCAGTGTCTTACTGTCTCTGGAACCTCCAGAGATGGTCGCCACGGGCAAAGTGTTTGCAGCACTGCTGCTTCACTGCCGCATCGGCTCAAGCGGTGCGCTGCCAATACGAGCCTCCCCTACGCAACGATGCTGTCGGCACCACGCCTCGTCCGCTGCGCCCTATCGGGGAAACCATCCGTCCTAGCTCTCACTTCTCTCAATCCGGCCCCATGCCTCATTACAGTTGAGATGCCTGATTCTGGTTCTGGTTCTGGTTCTGGTTGGGGGTGTGCAGGCCGCGAGGGTCGCCCCGGGCAACCTGTGCTGAGCGACCCGATGCCCCCTCGAACGGACACGCTGAATGATGAGAGGGCGGGGTGCGCCGCGGTGAGGCGGGGCCCGGGACCCCATGCCGGAGGGGGCACGGGGGGGAGCCGGGGCCCCGCCCAACCACGGCGAACCCCCCCCCCTTGGGGGGTCGAGGATTCAAGTGACACCGCTGGGCACCCGCTCCGTGGCCCACATCGACCCGAGCAATCCGAGCGGGCTCCGAGGTCGCCCAGCCCAGAGCGATGCGATCCCGCCCTCCTGGCGGTGCGGTGCGGCCCGAGCGCAACGGTGCAGCCTGGCGCGGCCGAGCGGGTGCGGCCTCGTCACCGTTCGGCGGTGAGCGAAGGGGGGCGGTGAGAATCACCGAGCGCGTTCTACTACTCGCAGAGTGCCTACTCACGAACGTGCGAAAACCAGATGTCTGGTTCGATGTAATTTCTCGTAGATCTCCCCCGGCGGATCCAGGCCATTTGCGAATAGTCACTTTGCGAGTGGTGGAACGCGCTCGTCTAGAGAAGGTGAAGGCCTTCTCAGAAGGCGGCGGGACTTCTCAGAAGCCCTTGCGCCTTCTGGGATGTTTTTTTTTGTCTTCGGGGAAGGCTTAGAACACTTCTCAGAAGGCTGGGGTACTTCCGAACCTTCTGAGCAGGCCTTCTCCTGCTCACTTCCCCCCTTCGCTCGCCGCCGGTCCGTGCCGATGCCGCCCGATTCGATCCACTTCTTGGTTTGAACCGACTTTTCAATGCCATGCTGATTGATCCTGGCCCAGGGCGCGAAGCTCGTCACCGTCCGCACCGCTGGGCATCGTGGTGTTCGGGGATCGAGTCTCGGGGATCCGGCTTGCCGGGCGGTCTCGGGTATTTTGGGGCCTCTGGGGGTGCTCTGGAGGTCTCCTTGAGGCTTCCTGGGGTCTTTTGTTTGGGGACTTCTGGATTCTGGACCCCCCACCCCGGGACCTGCCTTGACCTCCGAAGACTTTGGGGAGACGCTCAGGATGGCGAGCAGGGCCGCTACCGCAGCCGTGCCACGGCATGGTAGTTCAGAGCAGTGATTGACGCAACCACGGCAAAAAATAGCATTTTGCTCAGGCCATCAAGGAACTGATTGAGGTCAACAGATGCCCACAGCTCCTAGATTCGTGAGGTGTTCGCATCTCTTCCCGACGGTCTGCACTCGAATCTAATCTTGGTTATCTCCCAACCCTCCCGCGTTGGGTTCTCGTTTTGAATAGAGCACTGCGGTCTCCGTCCTCTCCCGCCCTCTTTTCCTCTCCTTTCTCCTCCTCTGCACTCTTGCCATTTATCTGTTTGCCTCGTCGTCATACGTCACCTCGCCATCCCTGGGGGGCTGCGATCTGTGAAACTGTTGCTACTTTCGAGGGCTCCTGGTTGGTGGGTCCAGCGGAGTGAGGCACCACCCAGATTCAGATTAGACCCCACCATCCCTGGGGGTTGCGATCTGTGAATCTGTCGCCACTTTCGAGGGCTGCTGGTTGTTCCAGCGGAGTGAGGCACCACCCAGATTCAGATTTAGACCTCGCCATCCCTGGGGGGCTGCGATCTGCGAAGCTGTCGCCAGTTTCGAGGGCTGCTGGTGGTTTCAGCGGAGTGGGCCACCACTGCCCTGACTCAGATTAGACCTCGCCATCCTTGGGGGGCTGCGGTCTGCGAAACTGTCGCCAGGGCTGCTGGGGGGTCCAGCGGAGTGAGGCACCACCCAAGTTCCGGATTTAGTCCTCGACATCCCTGGGAGTTGCGATTTGCGAAGCTGTCGCCATTTGGGAAGGCTGCTGGTGGGTTCAGCGAAGTGAGGCCCCCCCCAGAGGCATATTAGACATCGCCATCCCTGGGGGAGCTGCGATCTGCGAAACTGTCGCCACGTTCGAAGGCTGCTGGTGGGTCCACAGGAGTGACGCGCTACTCAGATTCAGATCAGATCTCGCCATCCTTGGGTGGTTGCGATCTGCGAAACCGTCGCCACTTTCGAGGGCTATTGGTCCAGCGGAGTAGGGTCCTACGCAGATTCAACTTAGACCTTGCCGTCCCTTGGGGGCTGCGATCTGCAAAACTGTTGCCACTTTCGAGGGCTGTTGGGGGTCCAGCGAAGTGACGTCCTACGCATATTCAGATTCGACCTCGTCGTCCCTGGGGGGCTGCGATCTGCGAGACTGTCGCCACGTTCGAGGGTTGCTGGGGGGGTCCAGCGGAGTGACGTCTTACGCGGACTCAAACTAGACCTCGCCATCCCTGGGGGACTGCGATGTGCAAACCTGTCGCCGCTTTCCAGGTCTGCTTGGGGTGCAGCGGAGTGATGTCTTACACGGACTAAAATGAGACCTCGCCATCCCTGGGTGGCTGCGATCTGCGAAACTGTCGCCGCTATTGAAGGCTGCTGGGGGGTCCAGCGGAGTGACGTCTTACGCGGACTCAGATTAGACCTCGCCATCTCTGGGGGGATGCGATCTGCGAAGCTGTCGCCACTTTCGAGGGCTGCTCGAGGGTCCAGCGGATTGGCGTCCTACGCGGACTTAAATTCGACCTCGCCATCCTTGGGGGACTGATCCGCGAGAGTGTTGCCACTTTCGAGGGCGTTCAGCGAATGACGTCTTACGCGGACTCAAATTAGACCTCGCCGTCCCTGTGGGGCTGCGATCTGCGTCACTGTCGCCATTTTCCAAGGCTGCTGGTGGGTCCAGCGGAGTGAGGCACCACCCAGACTCATATTAGATCTCGCCGTCCCTGGGAGGCTGCGATCTGCAAAACTGTCGCCACTTTTGAAGGCTGGTGGGGGTCCAGCGGGGCGCTGTCGCGGGCCTCCCGCAGACCTGGCGGCGCGCCTTCGAGCGTTTAGCTCCCGCACTGAAGAGTGCAGGAAGGAAGCAGGGAAGCTGTTGGGCGAGCTAGGTCTCGCTCGCTTCTTGCCCTAGCGGTTAGCAGGTGTCATCATGTTGTCGATCGCCGCGGCGGCATGGCGCAGACAGCGCTCCATCTTCGCGTACTACCGACAAAAGCAGCACACTTCGGTCTCCTCCCGTCACTGTCGTCGTCGTCCTCTGCCCCTTGCCACCTTCCCTCTCCTGCTGCCGCGCTGACGGGTCGCCCCCTGCGCGTCCTTCTCCTGCCCTTCGTTCCCGCCCCCATGTCCTCCTCAAGCCTGGGCCCTCGCTCCTCGTCCTTCTGTTGGCGTCCCGTGAACCGTGCCACATGAGCAGCGCATCTCATGCAGCTTGCACCACGTCTAACGGCGCCTGCATTGTCATTGTCCTGGCAAGTTCGGGCAAACAGCTGTTATCACTTGATGCAAATGGGTGCTTGGTGCGTCATAGGAGTGGTCTGGGGGCTTCTCCCGGGCTTCTCTCGGGACCTTGCCGGGGTACTTTTCGTCCGGGGGCCCCCAGGGGCCGCTCCGCGCGCGCGAACTAGAAATATTGTTAAAAAGTTACCGGAGATCTTAGCACGCCTCTGGCCCGTTGGGCCGGCGAATTTTTTCCACGTGCGGGCCGCCCGAGTAGCTTTCGCTCAGAGGCTGGGTCTGCCGAGGTTCGGCCCGGTTGGGCGGCCGTGGGCGCCTCGTGGGCGCCCCCGTGCGCTGGCTGGGTCTGCCGGGGGTGTCTGCCTGCTGGGCGGCCGTGGGCACCTTTGCACTGCTTGTGCCGAGCTGCTCGTGTACGTAACGTAGCGCACACCACCGTGCATACACCATAGCTGGCGGCGTTCTGCACAGCTTGCACCACACAGCTGGCGCCACACGGGTTACACCACGCAGCTGTCCCTGTACAGCCGTCGCCACACAGCCGCCACCACTGTGCACCACCCAGGTTGCACCCAACATGGGGTGCACCACGTTGGCTGTTGCGCGCGCAGCTGTCACCATTTCACCATATTGCGTGCACCGATCGCTCACACATATCGCGGGAATTCAATGTTTGGGGTCCGTGCTGACAGGCAGTTTTACGGGGAGTCGTTGTTTCGTGTAGGAGCGCTTGTTGGTTTCGTAACAAATCGTGGGCGTGAACGCGATCAGTTTTTATTGTGCGAACGGTTGTGGCACTAGCCACCCGTTTTCTATCAGTGATCGTTCCCCCGAAGATGATGGCCCAGTGCACTTTGCCAGTTGATGACGGAGCCTGTCGTATTTGAAGTGGAGTCACGTGGTCTCAAGGACATCCAGCCCACCATTCCTGGATGTGTTGTCATGCCCTGTGGAGTGTCAGAGAAAACAGAGGGGGGGGGCGCGAAAACACAGAATCACCAACAGCCACAACGTAATCTCTTACGCCGTTCCGATGGCAGGCGCTGTTTCACAAAGCGCCGTCGGTGCCCCGGCGTCGGCCTCGCATATGCGAAACACGCCATTCGGCCGCAGCGCCTCTCCAGCAAACCGTGTACTCGGTGCCCAGCGCAGTAGAGATTCACCAGCGACCTAAGTTACGGCAGTCTAGTCGAGATGAAAGAGAAACACCATACATGAGAAGCACCAGGCAAACAACAGCACCAGCAACGGCAGCAACACCAACGAAACCAACACCAACACCACCAACAACACCACCAGCAGCAACAACAACGCCAGCATCAACACCAGCCACACCAATCAACACCAGCAACATCAACAACACCAACAACAACACCGCCATCAACAACAGCACCAACAACCAGAACAGTAACACCAGCAGCACCAACTACAACAACAACAACAATAACATGTGCGAGTAGCCACTCGGCCGATAAACAGTCCGCGGCGAGCACACGGGGGTGGCGCAAGGGGCACGGTCCCCTATAAGAAGGTGTGTGGGGGGGGTTGTTCTCAGAAGGCGGGGGCCTCCTTGGAAGGGCCTGCGGGCTTCTCGTCAGTCCTCCTGGGAGCCAGGAGGGCTTCCGAGTGCCCTCCCCTGCCCTCTTACGGTCGAGCATCTGATGAAGAGACCTCCCCCTCCTCCTCCGCCTCTTCCTCCTCCTCCTCCGCCTCGTCCTCCTCCTCCCCCTCCTCGTCCTCCTCCTCCTCGTCCTCCTGCTCCTCCTCCTCGTCCTCGTCCTACTGCTTTCCATCTCTACCCGAGTCCGGGGCTATTGCAGGTTTTTGTCCTCGCCGCCCCGAGGTCGACTTTGGTCGGCGCTGTTTCGGCCACGCTCGCAGGACAGCCTGTTGAGCAGGCCTGCTACACGGTCTCGGCGATATCTCTGCAGTAGCGTGGTGTGTCGTCATCCTTGTCCGTGGTGCGGGATAGCTCTCTTGAGGGGCAGCGGATCTTCCTTCCTGCTATGATCTGTTGCTGTGGCGGAACATTTGATTAAGGAACCTCTTCCTGAAAAGCTGGGCCAGCGCTCCTTAACCAAGTTGCTTGAAAGCTGGCCCATCTCATTAAGCGCGTTCGCCCCTGAAGCGTAAACAGAAAAGTTGGCCCAGGTCTGTGTGAAGAAAGTCGGGGAAACTGGCCCAGATTTGTGAAATTATGGTTTTCTATTTTTTCAGCTGTATAAGCCCCAGGCCGTCTGACAAGGCCGCCCCCCTCGCACCACTTCGTCGCGCGCCGCCAGCAGCCGATGCACGACCACAGCTATGAGCTGAGGGAGGAGGCAGCGAGGAGTTCCCTTCTCCCTTCCCGCCCCCCCGCGCAACGCAGCTGGTGGAAGCCTCGGACATCCGCGGCGCGATGGAGAAGGACCCGGGCCGCCAGACGAGGTGCCCGCTCAGCGCGAGCTTGTTCCGTGTGCACGGGGGGGGGAGAGCACCCTGCTAGGCGTGGAGTGAATGCCAATGGGAGATGTCAATGATGAGGCTATGACGCCCACTCGTGCCCGCCCCGTCCCGTCTTGAGGGACCTCGCACCCCCCTGTGATGGTAGGATGGGAAGACGGGCCGCCACCCTCAGCTTAAGTCGGGCCTGTCCCTCTACAGGAGGAATGTTTAACTGGGGTTCTTGGTTTGAGCATGTTTTGAATAGTTATATGAGTTTTGTTGTTGTTGTTGTTGCTGTTGCTGTTGTTGTTGCTGTTGCTGTTGCTGTTGCTGTTGTTGTTGTTGTTGTTGTTGTTGTTGTTGTTGTTGTTGTTGTTGTTGTTGTTGCTGTCGTTGTGGTTGTTGTGGTTGTTGTTGTTGTTGTTGTTGTTGTTGTTGTTGTTGTTGTTGTTGTTGTTGTTGTTGTTGTTGTGTTTTCATGACCTATATATAGAACGTCGTCGAAAATCACCCTGTAGGGGGACATGTCCGACCTAACCCTCGGCACTGCACTCACGGTGCCAGGTTCGTGGGGACTTGGTTCGACCCCCGCTGCCCCCCATGATGGAGGCTGCGAAGGATGCGAGGCCTCATGGCGGTCCTCACTGCTGATGCCTATGATGGTCCTCGTTGGGGGGAGGGGAGAGGGATACTCGAAAGGGCGATCGTAAACACGGATTGAGGTGGCGTGGATTAGCGACGGGTCTTGTTTCCACTGGAAATCGCGGATTTCCGCCGCCGAGCGAGGCGGCATTGGCCGCATTTTGGTGAGAGCCCCCCACACGATCCATGGATTTGGCGACTGCGCGCCAAATCCATGGATCGCTGATCCATGTTTGCGCGCCCCCGACCCGAGAAGGGTAGTTGCAGTGGCTAAGACATCCCTATAGCCCAGTTGCGAGAGAACCCTTGGCCAAAATGAGCAGGGTTTCTGCAGGCATGGAATCGCGCCGCAGCCGCCCCCACCTCGCGGCGGCACGCTTCCGTCGACCACCTCGCTCCCACCCCCCTCGGAAGCTCTTCAAGAGGCAGCACGACCCCCGCGGGCGCACCCATCAACGGCCCAAAGCCGCCACCCCTAAGTGGGCACAGAATCCCCAACCCCCAATTCTAACAAAGGCTGGGATCACGACTAATTGCCGAATTTCTGCTACGGGTCGTGCTGGTACCATTCGTTCTGCTGCACCCACTCGTACTGACAGTCCCAGTCGTGCTTGCAATGTAGCCGTGCTGCTGCTCGCACGCGTACTGCTTGCTGGCTTACCGCTAGCTGAACTCAACTAAGAAGTTGAACGCGAAGGTCCGTAGCCATTTTGGCTCAAGCCATTTTGGCTCAAGCCATTTTGGCTCAAGCCATTTTGGCTCAAGCCGTTCGAGCACGAACCAGCCAAAGCCACATCCGTTGTTAAGCATGATCAAGCGATGGGCAATAGGAGCAGAATGGAGTCTGCCGCGCCATGTGCAAGCCTGCGCCGTTGTTTCGGCTTCTCTGCTCTCTGTAACATGGTTCACGTGCAAGACTGCTATATTGAAAGGCGTGGTTGTGCCACTTGAGCTGCAGATGGATTCGCCTGCGACGAAGTCTATTCCCAGCAGGGGTCGGACAAACGAGTCTTCGGTTGTTCGCAGTCGTTCGCAATTGTGCTGGAAGGCCACTGGGCTATGTCGCAGTATGCAGGACTATGTCCGTCTGAACGGTTTGACTCACATTTTCGTTGGAGCTTCTGCTAAAACTGGAGGGACTTCAGTGAAGTATTTCTTCTTTGGGGGCCACGAACTCGACACCGACAAACGTGACAAACTTGCTCATTCAGCGCTGCGCAATCAATGTGAGAGTGGGCCGTTGCAGGCTCCCACATGTGGCGGGGCCTGGGTCGCCTCCTGAGAAGTCCGTGCGCGCGGAACACGCTTTTCTTCTTGCCCATGCGTGAGGACATGTCGTGGTGAAGGTCTGCGCTCCAGCAAGTGTGTTGGGACCCCGGTTGGGAGGCGGGCAAAAAAGGATGTGAGGAAGAGGCCTGCCCCGACACGTGCGGGAATTTCACGTGGCTGAAAGTGGCCCTGCGCAAACACATGGACGAATTGGGACAGGGTCCTCACATTTGGATAGAAGAGTGGATGGTTCGCAGTCCAGATTTTCACACATTTATGGTCGACTACGGCGCAATTGACAACGTGCTAGTCTGCCTTCCGCCGAGGGGCTTGAAGGTAGAGAACTCGTGGGGCTTCAAGGTAGAGAACTCGTCCCATCTTGCGCGCCATGTGTGCAAGCGGGCCCAGGCGACTCCCAAGGTGCACGCCGGTTTGTTTAGGCCATCGATCAACATGTCGGACGAGGATATCCGCGTTGCGTATTACGCTGTCGAGTCCACACCTTACTGGCCGCAGCCCTACGTCAAGGCACTGGAAAAGTCGGGGTGCGAGGTCGCTCCTCTACGTGGACTCCAGGTCTCCGAGGGTCGTTGAGGGTGGTGGCGTCCGATGTGGCCACATGAGGGAGAGGGCAGGTTGGTCAACGCCGCGTGGGACAGGTTGGTCGACGCCGCGTGAGGCTGCCTTTTCCTGCCTCCTCTCCCCTCTCACCCTTTCCTTTTCATACTCGGCCCCTTTCTTCATTCCGCCTCTTGCTCTCACTGTTCTTAGCTTCGTGCCCTCTGTCTCCTATGCGCGGACTTTTATGGATTTGGCCGGGCACTTCTGCGCGCAAGTCGCAGGGGCGCGTCTATCGCACGCCGGGAGCTGTTACGTTGGCGTTTGACTCTATGCGCGTCTCTGGAAAAAAACAAAAGAAGTTGAACGCGAAGGCCTATGCTGGCCCTTAGTCCCATTAATGGCATTCAGGGTTTGGAAGCTGAGGCCCATGATAGGCCTTTGTCCTATAACGGGCCTATGACGGTCCTTCGTGCCATAACGAGCCTCCATCTGGGAAGCCTGGAAGGCTTGTGTAGAAGGCGGGGCCTCTCCCTCAGCCGTGGAACAAACAATGGCATAAGCATACCAACCCGGAGGTCCGCGCAGATTTCTCGCATCGGCGCTGGAGCCCCCGGTAGCGCCTGCGGCGCCGCCCCTGCCGCGCTCCGCGCGCCGGGGAGGAAGGTCCAGCGCCGATCCGAGAAATCCGCGCGGACCTCCGAGTTGGTATGCTCATGCCATTGTTTGCTCCCCTACTCAGCCCCCCCCCCGGACGGCCGTCGGCTGCCGCCCCGCGGTCGGGCGTCCCCTCGCAGCGCAGCCCCCTTGCACCGAAGGCGGGATCGGCCGGCCGTGACGAGCCTCTGCGCTGCGCCAGCATAGGCTCGCAAGGCGCCGCGTCTTGCGACATGGAGAGGACGAGAATCGGCGGCCAGCCCGCGGGGGAAGTGAGAAGGGGCAGGCCTCTGCAGAAGGCTCGGACGTCCCCTGGCCTTCTGAGCAGTTTTCTGTGCCTCCTCCGAAGGCAGAGGCGGCTTCCAAGAAGGCGCGAGGACTTCTGGGGAGCCCCGCCGCCTCATGAGAAGGCCTTCTCCTCTCTTTTCCCCCTCGCTCGCCGCCACGAGAAGCGAAGGTCTTGGACGGGTCCAGCGGGTTCCATGAAGCCAGGAGGGCCTCTGAGAGGCCCATCTGCCTTCTCTGAGGAGGGACAGATAGGCACAGACTCAAACAAACGTGCATTTCCAACAACATGTTGGAACCACTGGGGAGTGGATGGGGACGAGAAACATCCAGAAGATCTCGAACACTATTGGGCATCCTGGAGCTTGTGCCTGTTTGTGTATATTCGTTTCTGTCTGACTGGGGCCCCTGCCTTCTCGGGAGCTCCCCCCCTCCTCCTGGGGCTTCCGAGGAGGTCGCCCCGCCTGGGGGGCCATCCCCCCCCCCCTGCGTGCGCGCCGCCGCAGTGGGCGTGGGTATCCGCCCGCCCCTGCGGGCGGGTGCAGCGCCGCCGGCTCTGGCCCACCACGCTTCGGCACGGCACGCTGCGCAGTTTCTGGTCCCTGCGCGTCCACGTTTCAAGCCTCTCCCCGCCGCTCGCTCCGCGGAGCGGAGCGACATGCCATCCACTCGCAAGGCATAGCGTGTCGCCAGGGTCGCCGACGCGACACGCGAAGCACCGATTCCCGACCGCAGCAGCAGAGGTGAACAGGCGGTTCGAAGAGTCCGTCGGCTGGTGAAAACGTGCATTCCTTGGAGGGTGAAAGCACGGCCATGTGCAGTCTAGTTTTTTTACCAGGAGTCGTGGCCGTCTGGAGCAGACATGTAGCTGGCATTGAGGCGAGAGCACGATTTCTGAACATTTCGTTCGGAGGTCTTAGGCAAAACGGCTGCCGGACCAGGCGGTCTAGGGCTACCCGCTGCCCCTGTCGGACTCGTGTGTGGTCCTTTCTTCGGCTGCACGTAAGAGTGACCCCTCGCCGAAGAACCTTTGTGCTGGCTCACAGGGGTCCCCGCAGCACTGGCCTACGCGCTTGGATTTCCCCCCCCCCCTCCCCCTCCGCGGCCCCCTAAGGTTGAGTCAGGCGTGTCGCTCTACAGGGGGAAACATCAAAAATAGTAAAGCAATAGTCGGGAGACGTTTGTTTTTGTTGGGGGGGCTATTTTTGACCATTTTTGAATCTTTGTTTGGACTATTTTTAACGGTTCGTTCAACATCGGCCCGTAGGGGGACATGCCCGACGTAACACTACTCGAGCCTTCCAGCGAAACGCGACGTCGGGGAGCACTGCCCAGCGCGTCCACGCCCGCCGCTCCCCAGGGCTCGTTGGGGGCAGGCCTCGGAGGGCGCCACGGGCTTGGCGGTGCGCCTCCCCTGCAGGAGCACCACACGCTGACCGACGAGGAGGCTCGCCTCGTGTCCAGGACCGGAGGGGGGTCGGCCACGCGCAGAGGGGGAGCAGGGGGAGGGGGGAAGGCTCCTTAGAAGCACCCCTGCTTCTCAGAAGGCGCGGGCCTTGTCTGCAGATGTGAGGCCCGCGCCTTCTAAGAAGCAGCCTCCTTCTAAGAGGCCTTCCCCCCTCCCCCTGCCCCCCTCTGCGCGCGGCCAAGGGGTGCCAGATCCGGGAGGGGTCGTCGACGATACGCGCGTCGTCTTTCAAGCTGTGCCTGTCGCTCATTCGTTTGTTGTTGTTGTTGTAGCCGAAACGGTGTACGGCCAGGAATTTCTGGAGAGGGTGTCGCTCCGCCGTCTCCGGCCCACCAAGCTTCGGCGCGACACGCTGTCCTCAGCCTTTCGCAGGTGCGCGCCCCGCGGAGCGGAGCGACACGCTACCCGCTTGCAGGGTATAGCGGGTCGCCTGGGCCGCCGCAGCGACAGGCTAAGCAAAAGGTTCGGACCGTACATCTTCAACACCAGCACGCTGACTGGTTTGTCCGATCGACGTGACATGTTTATCAGATAGCTGTGGGTGGTCAGAACGGATGCCAATTCTGAACTTCAGAAGCATAAGCTGTGCGTGGTCCGCGCGGTGCCCCTACCCCCGCGTCATGATTTTTTCAACGTCAACCCCCAGAGGGCTCGACCCATTCTCCTGGACCGGTTCTTCATCCTGGGCCGTTTTGTGGCAGCACCGAGGCCCGTGAGGGCCTTCCAGAGGCCTAAACTAGCGAAGAACCTCCCGTCGTGTTTTTTCCATGACTCGAGGGGGTTTGGGTGAGGCCCCACCCAAACCTTTCCTCTCGGGGTGGACCAGAAGGATGAATTTGGGGAGGTGAGGGGCAGGGCTTATTTCGATTCTTCCGAGTCGATTCGATTCGACTTCGACCGACTCCGATTCCGATTCGTTTCGGCTTGGGATTTCGATTTGGATTCCGATTTTTCAATTGGAGCCCTCTAGCCTGCCCATTTCCGCCGATTCGACTTCTCCCGACTCGGCTGCCAGTTTCCGCCCATCCGATCCATTTCGATGATTGCCGATCCGACTCATCGAGTCGATTCTGGGCTCTTCTGGGGTGGGTGCCAGAGCTGCTGCACGGAGCTGCTGCCAGTGTTCCACTGTCTCGCGCCGTCCTCGATAAACTCACGCGGCCGCCTGTGGCGCCGGGAGAGGCGCTTACAGAAAGACCGGGGGAGGGCAGCCGACTCGCCAACCGCCCCTCTCGTGCTGTCCGCCCCTCTCGTGCTGTCCTCCTCCCCCTCCTCGATAATTCCCACGGCCGCCTCTGGCGCCAGGAGGCGCCGAGAAGACCCTGGGGGGGCAGCCGACTCGCCAACCCCCCCACTAGTGCAATCCTCCCCCTGCCCCCCGTCTCGCCCCCCCTTCCCTCGGCGGCGAGCCCGGGGGGGAAGTCAGAGAGGCCTGGCCTTCCAGAAGGCTCGGAAGGCCCGCGGCCTGCTGAGAAGCTTTCTGTGCCTTCTCCGCAGGCAGGGGGCGGCTTCTAAGAAGGCGCGGGGACTCCTGAGGAGACCCTCCTCTTTCGAGACGGCCTGCTTGCTCTCACTTTCCCCCTGGGCTCAGTTTCCTCCCGCCGTACTTGGGCGGCCGCCTGGCTGCGCTGGGCGTCTTGTTCTGTCTGGTTCTTCTTGAGTCGGGCGTGTTCTCCTACAGGAGGAAAATTCAAGAATAGTCAAAAATAGTCGGGAGATTTATGACTGATAATTTCGTGATATTGCGAAGGCCTTACGGCCGGTGCCGCCGACCCTGAAGGGAGACGAGAACGACGACGACGACGAGGACATCGACGACGACGACGACGACGACGACGACGACGACGACGACGACGACGACGGCGGCGGCGGCGGCGGCGGCGGCGGCGGCAACGACAACGACGCTGACGTGGGCCAGAATCCTCAGGGCTGGTTCTTGGGATCTCTTCGGAAGTCTCTCGGGGACCTCTGGGTAGGAATATGTAGGAATTGTGGGGCCTCTTGGGGTACTCTTGGGGGCCTCTTGAGAGCCTCTTGGGGGCCTCTTCGGGCTTCCTGGGGACCTCTTGTGGGCCTCTTGGGGCCTCTGGGGAACCTCTTGGGGCCTCCTGTGAGCTTCTTGGGGCCGAAGGCTCAAAATGTCCGTTCGGGTCCCCCGTCTGGGCACTCTCCTGGAGCCGTCTTGGGGCCGTCTTGGGCCGTCTTGGAGGCGTCTTGGGCCGTCTTGGGGCCCTCTTCGTCCGTTAGGGGGCTCTCTTGGGGGCCTCTTGGGCCGTCTCGGGGCGATCTTGGGGGCCCCTGCGGCCGTCTTGGCGCGTCGGGAAGCAGAAGAGGCAAGAGCGCCAAAATTTGTCAAAAACATATGGGGAATACATGGGTTTGCCTCTTGGGGCTCCCGTGGGAAAGCTCCTGGAGGCCTCTTAGGGCGCTTAGCAGGCCTCTTGGGCCGTCTGGAGGCCGTCAAGGCGTCTTGGACAGATCGTTCAGCGATTCGGGTTCTCTTGGACTGTCTTTGGGGCCTCTTGGGGCACTCTTGGCCCGTCTTGGGGCTTTTTGGGGCTTCGGGAGGGACTCCCCGGGGGGGGGCGTCTGACCCCCCCCCCGGGACCCTCCCCGACCCCCCCCCCCAGGGGGAGGGATCGAAGGGACGCTTCCCTTCGACTCAATTGCGACGTTGCTCAACTTCGCTTTGGCTGGCGCGCTGAGGAGGTCCCTGGGAAAGGGGGGCTTCGACGAGCCCAGGGAAAGGGGGAGGCAGGGAAAGGGAGACGACAGAGACGACGACCGACGAACGACGGAGATGACGACTTGAACGGACAAGCCCCTCACACACGCCGACAGGGTCGGCGGATCTTGCATCTTTCGAGCAAAATCAGCCTGTAGGAGGACATGCCCGACCTAAGTCTTGTTCTGCCCCTCTCCCAGGCAGTCGATCCAGGACTTCCGCGAGCACGCCAACGGCCAGTCGCTGCACCTTGCGCAGGCGTGCGGGCTAGAGGGCGCAGGGCCCTCTTTGGCAAGGAAGTACTCGGCGGTTCTCAGGGCAAGCTATTCCCAACCATCCTGTGGTGTTGGGTCCTCGTATTGGCAGTGCCCCGCGTCTCCTTTCTCCACCGCTCCTCCTCAGCCTCCTCCTCCAATCCCTTCCTCTGTCCTCCGCATGTCCACTTTGGCACACCTCTCACAAGTTTCGTGGCCCCGTAGGGAACTCCAGCTAAGGTCCTGATGCCAGGGTCCGCATAGCGTCGCCGCCTCATTTCGGCACACCCCTCACGCGTTTCATGGCTCCACAGTGAGCTCCAGCTAAGGCTCAAGTGCCATGGTCCGCATGGCGTCGGTGCTTCATTTCGGCACACTCATCACACGTGTCGTGGCCGCATAGGGAGCTTCAGCTACAATATGGCCCAAATGCCAGGGTCCGCAAGGCGCGGGTGCTTCATTTGGGCACACTCTTCACAAGCTTTGTTTTCCCATAAGGAGGGCCAGTTAAGACCCAAATGCCAGGGGCCGCATGGCGTCGCCGCTCGATTTCGGCACATTCCTCCATGTTTCGTGGCCCCATGGGGAGCTCCAGCTAAGGCCAGGGTCCGCATGTCGTCGGTACTTCATTCCGACACACCCCTCACACGTTTTGTAGCCTAGAGCTCCAGCTATGGCCCAAATGTCAGGGTCCGCATGGTGTCGGTGCTTCATTCCGGCACACCGCTCGCACGTTTCTTGGACCCATGGGGAGCTTTGGGGAGCTCCAGCTCAGGTCGAAAGGACAGGGTCCGCATGGCGTCGTCGCATGTTTCGCGGCCCCATAGGAGCTCCAGCGAAGGCCCAAATGCCAGGTTCGACATGGCGTCGCCGCTTCATTTCGGCACATCTTTCGTGGCCCCGAAGGGAGCTCCAGCTGAGGCCCAAATGCCATGGTCCGCATGTCGTCGGTGCTTCATGTCGGCACACCCCTTACACGTTTCATGGCCCCATCGTGAGTGAGCTCCACCAAATGTCAGGTTCCGCATGGCGTCGGTGCTTGGTTCCGGCAAGCCACTCACACGTTTCGGTGCAGGGGGCTCCAGTAAAGCCCAGATGCCAGGGTCCGCATGGCGTCGCCGCCTCATTTCGGCACACTCCTCACATGTTTCGTGGCCCCCATAGGGGGATTCAGCCAAGGCCCAAACGCCATGGTCCGCATGGCGTCGGTGGCCCAAATGCCAGGGTCCGCATGCGTCGGTGCTCCATGTCGGCATACCCTTCACACGCGTTGTGGCCCCATAGGCTAGGGAGCTGCACCAACGGCGCCAGTGGCAGCGCCCGCATGGCGCTACCTCCCCATTTCGGCACCCCCTCACGCGCTTATTGGCCCCATACGGACTTCTGCTTCTTTCGTCCCCCCTGGCCTTGCTGTAACCACGCCTGTATATGATTGGGCCCGTCGCCAGGAAGTTGTTTCTAATGAGGCTTTGCCTTATGGGGCTCTTATTCGTGAAGAAACGGTGGGTGCGGGACGCGGTTGCGCGAGGGCTCCCTGGGGGTCTTCGCTTTGGTTTCTTTACATGTTGCTTGGTGTTGTTTCCGAATGAAGGGCGTATAACGGGATTCTTCGATTTTGGGTTTTAGCAATTGTATTAGTTCCTTGGTTCTTTGGTCTCGGTTCCTTGTTTCCTTACCTTGGTCTTGGTTCTTTGGTTTCTTGGTCTCGGTTCTTTTGGAGAATTGGTGGTTTCGGCGCCTGGTGGCGCCAGTTTTCGCAGGGCCCGCGTTGTTTCTTTACAAGGGCGTGCCCCAGGGTTCTTCGGCTTTGGTCCTTGCAAGGCCTTGCCTGCCTGGGATCCTTGGCCTTGGTTCCTTGGTTCCTTGGTGTTGGTTCCTTGGTTCCTTGTTCTTGGTTCCTTGGTTCCTCTGTTTCTTGGTCTTGGTTTTGTTGGTTCCTTTGTCTTGGCTCCTTGGTTCCATGGTCGCGGTTTCTTTGTTTTAGTTCCTTCGCTCCTCGGTCTTCCGTGTGGGCGGTAGCCCACAGGCCAGGGACAACATGTGGACATTTCAACTTTGGTTTCGGGGTGGAGGGGTGCGAAGCAGTGGCATTTCGCAATTGTGGTGGTCATCACGATGCATCGTTTTACCGCCATGGGTGTGGACACTTTTTGTCCGGGCACCGTCTGGGTTAGATGTGTTATTTGGCTTTGTAGGAAGCCGTTGATGATGATGATGCTGATAAGGATGACGATAATGATGATGATGGTGATGCTGATGCTGATGATGATGATGATGATGATGATGATGATGATGATGTTGATGATGATGCTGATGCTGATGTTGTCACCCCGTTCGAACGCGACCGAACATTGCGATGCTTTTCGAAAACCCGCGCGCCGTTGGACATATGGCGCGCCCTGGCAGCCCCGCGGCTTCCCTTTGCATGGAGAAGTGCGTGGAGCTGGTACAACTGGTACAACTGGATAGAACTGGTCATAGAACTGGTCATAGAACTGGTCTGTCAAAAGCAGGGTCTGGTATAGATCTGGTCCAATTTCTAAAGAGAAATCATTTGAATATCTAAACTTTATTTTTTTCTAGAACCGACCAGTTCTACGCCGGATCCTATTATTAATGGACCAGTTCTATGACCAGTTCTATCCAGTTGTACCAGTTGTACGAGCTCCACACACTTCTCCACGCAAGGGGAAGCCGCGGGGGCTGCCAGGGCGCCCCGTCACAGAGTTCCCGCGTGGCCAACTTCCCTAAGTGCGCGCGGTGCTGCGCTACTTTTTATTGGCAATTCCGTTAATGCCCACCCACGTGGGCTACCTACCGCTTGCGCGTCCGCCCAGGCTCTGACGTGTGTATGAAGTCCGCTCACTTCCCTATTACATCCCGTCCGCAGCTGTATTGGCTCAGGTATTGGATAACTAACCTCTGTGCACTGCATGCTGCGCAGTGCCTTGGAAAAGGAGTTCCGCTCCTCGTCTTTACCTGCGGACCCCGTACAGGAACGGCCCCTCGGCCGTCTCCCTGTACAGGTGGTCAGACTTTTTCCATACCTAGGCTCTGCCTAGAAGGGTTCTTGCTCTCTGGGCTTAAAGGGGCCGGGCAGTGGAAAGCGCCCCGGGCGGTTCCCCCAGTATCCGCCCCGCGGTTCCCTCAGTTACGTCCCCCTAGCTTAGCGTTGCTTGTATCATCTTAGCTTAGCTTGTTTCATCTCAGCTCAGCTTAGCTTCATCTCAGCTCAGGTTTATCTTAGCTTAGCTTACCTTCATCTTAGCTTCGCTGAACTTTAGCATCGCAGAGCACAGCATAGCATAGTATTGCGTAGCATAGCATAGCGCAGCACAGCATATCATACCATAGCCCATCATATCATATCATAACGCAGTATCTCATAACATAGCTTAACATATCATATCATAGCATTGCATAGCTTAGCACACCACATCGCAGCATGACATATCATAGCTTAGCATCGTAGAGCGCAGCTTAACATCGCTTATCATATAATATCACAGCTTAGCCTATCACAGCGCAACATGACATAGCATAACTCGTCACAACACATCATATCATAACATTGTATACCATAGCGAAACCTATCATATCATATCATAGCATCGCATAGCGTAGCGTGTCATAGCATGGCATATCATAGCATAGCAACTAATGCTGCTTTCCTAGGGGCTCCAACTTCTAGGTCGGGTCGCACTGGGATAATCTTAACCGCTCTTTGTTGTTGCAATTCGCGTCATTTTGGATTCCGCCGCTTGGCGTCGTAACCTCGTTGCGTTGCCCTCAAGCGTGCGATCTCTTCGACGGCGCATGTACGCGACGGCATCATGGAGAGGGCACGAGCAATTGTGATACCCATTTCCTCCATCTCAGGCGACGGCAGTGCTGCGTGTTTCGCGGCGGTTCTCGGGGAACTCTTACCTGACTCTCCGACGCTTCCGCCGCCCCCGCGTGCTCGCACGCTGGATTCGCCTCCCGCTCAGCCTGATACATCCCGCCCGTCGGTGGCTACACCCGCAGTTGTCACGTATGTCGTCGGAGCCGACACTTGCTTCACTACGCCTACTGCCTCCCCACCCACCTTCGCTGGCACCAGCGTCGGTGGCCACGCCCGCAGCGGCCATCGCGCCGCAAACGTGTCTCCTGACATTGCTCCCGCTCGTAGCCGCCGCTGGGCCAAGGCTTCGTCGCCAACAAATGTCTCCGTTTCAGAACATGTGCGGGTCATAGGGAATCGCACTGGACGGACGTCTCAGCGACAGGCTCCTGGAAGGTATCACATTCGTTCTCCTACCCGAGACGCCAGCCGCAGCCCCTCACAACGACGCCCCGGCAAGGCTTTCAGCAGCGCAACCTTGTTGCGCAATCTTTTCCAACTGCCAGTGATCTGGCAGAACTCTGGGACCAGGTTGAAACGTACACTCCCAACAGCTACCGGGTCTGGCCGCTCAGACTGCCACAATCAGACAGGAGTTTCAACATGCTCTTGCTTTGGTCGATGCTAGGATCGCTGAGGATCGATCGATCCTCTCTCAGGTCCAATCCCAGGGCGACCAGATGGAGTCACACCGAGGTGCCGATTCCAGAGCGATCCAGGCGCTTCACGACTACCTCCTACGGATGGAGGCACAATTCGTGACCGTCAGGGATACTGGGACTGCTGATGTCAGGACATTACACGATGAGCTCCTGATGGGTCGACAGACCCCACTTATGGAGGTACATGGAACTACGGATTTTCAGCTACGTGGGGACTTGGATACGCTTCGCACCCAGGTCCACCAGCACGCTGCTACGACAAGTTCCACCCACACCACCCTCACGTCCGAGTTAGATGGTAAGCTGCGTGGTGCCGAGACGGCCCTCACTCACCGTTTCGAAGCTGTCAAAAGACGTGTGCCGACGCTCGAGAACCGAGTCTCCCAGTTCGAGCTGCAGATCCCCGAACTACGGACTGCGCTGGCTGAGTTGCGTGTTGTGCGAGCCCAAACTGATCAG